ATGTACATGAAGAAAATGTTGAGAAACCAGAGCTTCTCCGTTTGATGTTTTGGTCTAACAACTTTCCCCTTGATGATATAGCAACAGTGTTTCAATCCCCTTCTTAACCGACAGATTGGTGTGTGCAGGAATGATCACAGGGGAAACGCTGCTGAGAACGCAAGCAGGGGTTAGGAGCTAGGAGCTAGGCCGGGAAAAGTAGCAAAATTTGTCCTGTGTGTGTGTGTGTGTGTATGTGTGTGTGTGTGTGTGTGCACACGCGCGCCCCCTACACGCAGAGGAGGATGGGGTGGGACCTCCTTAAGGAGGGCTTGGTGACTAACCCGTATCCAGCTCAGAACGAAACCTGATGCTCTTTCCTCCGGAACGTCCCTCCTGGCCCAGGAACTGCACTGGGAAGCAGTTTGCTATGAATGAGCTAAAGGTGGCCGTGGCCTTGACGCTGCTCCGCTTTGAGCTGTCACCAGACCCCACCGGGATCCCCGAGCCTGCTGCAGGAATTGTGTTGAAGGGCAGGAACGGAATCCACCTGCATCTGAAGAAGCACCACTAACCCAGGTGGGCGCAGGGGCAGGCTTGTCCCATTGAGTTCCCTTGAGCAGCCTCTCGCCTTCCCTCCTGTCTGCTGTCGCCTGTGTATCTACCGATCTTCCACCTGCCTGGCCTCCTTCCTCCGATCCGCCAGATTGTCTGACCTTCTGTCCGCCAGCCTTTCTCCAGCTTCCCCCCTACATGTTTGTCTGCCTTGTGACACTCACCTCTGTCGGCCCACCTAACTCCTAGTCACTTGCTGACTTCCAGACAGTCTGCCCGTAGTGTATGCCTCAGTGTGCCTGGCCCTGTCCGAAGTCCCTCTTGCTGCAGTAGCAACGCCCCCTCGGTTGACTGACTAAAACAGCACAAAATTAATCTCCTACAGTTCTGGAGGCCTGACGTCTGGAATGGATTCTACAGGAGAAAATCAGAGTGGTGTGAGGAGAGTCTGCATCCGGAGACTCCAGGAGAGTAGAGTAGCTATTCCCCGCCCTTCCCCAATGTCTAGAACAGCTGCCCTCTATCGGGTCCCTGTGAGTCCGACATGACTGGGCGGCAATGGGTTCAGAGCTGGTCTTCGATTCCATCACTGGGGCCTCCTCCAAAGTCTGCAGTTTCTCAAATCTCCCTGCTTCTGCCTGCATACTGCCTTCTCTGCTGCAAGGAAGTTTGTGATCACTTGGTGGCTCTCAGACGACCTTTAATCATCTCGTTTCAAAACCCTTAGTGGAATCGTGCTTGCGAAGTCCTTTGTGCCATCTGCGCTTCTGTAGTCAGTTTCCACAGCTTTGACTGTAGACCCTGGAGCGTCGTTTTTCAGCAGGCCACAGTCCTCTTGGGATTGCTGTTTGCTCCGTCACACCTGAACCTCCCCTCCCTACACACGGTGTCATGCACTCCATCCTGTGATTCGTTCCACCCTCCACCACCCTGCCCTGGCAGAATAAAGCTCACAGTGTTACATGGAGGGTCGGTCCTCCCTGGAGAAGGCAGAAGAGAGGGAGGATGAGGGGAAGCAGAAGGAAAAGGCAGTGACCCTTGCCCTGTGATGCCTGGGACCCTGTGTGCGACCTCCAGTTACAGAAGCCCCTCCTCTCTGTGGTCCTTGGTGCCCAGGCGCCATGTGGGTCCTGAAAGATGCGATGTCACCTGGATTTAGAAACAGGATTCCTCCCTCCGGCACACTGGGGCAACAAGAGGGTGGTAGGTTGTGTCTTTGTCGGGTAAAGGGGCCCTGTCTCCATTTCCCTTAGGAATAAATTCTCACACTAGCATTTTACAGCACCTAGGAACCTTCTAAAATTTTTCTTTTCCTGAACAGGGGTCCTTGCCATCTTGATCCAACACGAGGGCTTTGAAAATGCAGGCCTACGTGGCTGAGAATTGTTTGAGAAAAGACCCCTTGCTTGCCCCCATCTCCAGACACCTGTCAGCATTGCTCGGCACAGCAAGGTCTGAAGACTCCTCAGGAGGCCCCAGGGCTGAGTGGGAGCTCAGTGGAGAAGGTCTGGGGGGACCAAGGGGCTGAGCTGGTTGGAGAGCATATTGAAATCCGGTAGCAGCCCTGCCTCCTTGCCGCAGGAGGTCTATTGCTCAATGTGTTGCCCCACCAGACCCCCTGGCCTCACCTAGGTAGAAGAGGGGCTTTGTCAACCCTGCCACACATGTTGAAGGCCGAGCTGTCGGTCACCTCTGTTCTGAGCACCGCGTCCCTCGGTAAAGCAAATAGGTTCTCTGGGTTAGCGCTGTCCCTCCTTCCACCCGTCTTTCTTAACTCTAATGCCCTATGTCCTCCTGCCCACCTTGGGCACAGGTGGCCCCCATTTCTAGTCCAAGACAGTGGCTGCCATCAACAGAGCTGACTGCTGTGTGAGGCCGTGGACGACCACCTGCAAAGGGCTTCTCCCCAAGTCTGTGCCTGCAGCCAGGCCATCTCTCCGCTCCGCTTGCCTCCCTGCCCATGGCAGTTTGCAGTGGCGGCTCCGCTCTGCCTTGAGCAGTACGGAAGAGGAGTGTGGCTAGCTGTTCACTGTTTGGCCCAAGGCCTGGGAAAGAGAGGGGTGGATCCTGAAGCTTCTTGGGCAGGAGGTTCATCAGGAGGTTCATCAAGTTCATCAGGAGGTTCATCAGGTTCATCAGGCAGGAGGTTCATCACATGTTGCAAATGAGCTAGGATGGGCCCCGGCTTGGGAAATAGCAAGGCAACAGTACCCTGAATTGGGGAAGGAGAACAAAAAGCATATCCCCTGACCCCAGAATTCCAAGGGCCTGGGGAGAGAGCTGGAGATGTGGCCATGCTGGCTCCAGGAACTAGCAAGAGCCTGGACTACTGAGTTCTCACCACGTGCATCCCTCCCTCACAAATAAAGTCATAGAGAATAAGGAGAGATAGAAGAGAGATTGAAATAATGGAGTCAGACACATTTCATGGTAGCATGCTCACCTCACCCTGCTTGGTGGTCCACGTGGAGATGGGAGGCCAGAGGGCAGGAGAGGGGGGAGGGGAAGGAGGACAAGGGGAAAGGGGACAGGTGAATAGAAAGCTTCCTTATTGCTAACCAAGGCTTATATTGCTTTGGGGAGCATACAAGCCCCCTAATTACAGGTAAAGACATACGTCACAAGAAGGGGTTGCACTATAGGTACTAAGGTAATGAGAGGGGGACGATCTAGGGGTATCCATGCAATAGGAAGGGGAGGTATTAAGGGTACACATGTGACAAGATGGGCAGATCCCAGATTCAGGATGGCAGCCTAACTCTGGATGTCACTGAGCAGGTTTGACCTGGGCTCTGGCTCTTCATGGAAACAATTACTATCCTTATCAGTAGTGTGTGAACCCCACCTGCAGTGGACCAGACAGCAGTCTGAATGCCTTCAAGGAGAATATCTCTAAGCATCTGACCTCCCCATATGCTGGCAAATAGCCTCTAATGTTTGGCATATCTTTGGGGGAGACAAAGCTGAGGGGAAAGTCTCTTTATAATCCCACACCCACCCTCCCACATGTCAGAGCAGACATTGCGCACTCATACACATATGTGCACCAGTGCCAGGGGTGGCAGAAGACTGCGGGCTGCGGGCATGGCTGAAGCAGGACCGAGGCAGGTGGGGTGCACTGAGTGGGCCGGCTGGTTCCCCAGCCTCTCCTCTCTTCCCCTCCCGCCACCAGGCCTCTCAGTCCTTTGTCCACCTCAAAATGCTCTCACCGGAGGTTCCAGTATTAATGCTGGAGTTTGAGTAGAAATAGGACTGGGTCAGAGGTCTTCTGCTCAAGTCTCCACCAGACTTCTGTCCTGGCAGATTCCTCCGTGGATATTGAAGTGGGAGCATGTAGTCCACCCACTCTGCCTCGCAGACCCGCTGGCCCAGAGAGAGGCAATGGATGCACTTGAGGCTCAAAGCCACCCACACAAGGGAGGTGTGGCTGTTGAGATTTACCTTCTCTTGTGAAGAGAGAGGTGTGACCAGGAGCCAAGAAACAAAGTTGGGAGTGAGGTGTGTATCTGGCACATCTGGCCGGGGCTTCTGCACACAATCTTTGGTTGGGTAGGAAATCCTGGGTACTGGAAGGGTTTTGCCTGAGTAGGTGGCTTGTGGCAGACCTGCCTGGTGGTGGTTTTCTTCGGAAAAGGGAAGCACTGTGAGTGGGAGTGGGATTTCCAGGGGTGCATTGGCAGGGCTGCAGAGAGATGGTCACAGCCCCGTCCCGTCCCCCCCCCACTCTCCAGCTCCCCCACCTGCACCCGGCAGCCTCTATCCATTGCCCCTTTGCTGCTCCTCATTGTTGGAGCCCACCCTGAACCTTGTGTATGTCCCATCAGGCAGTGCCGCAGTGTCTGCAGGAGAGCATCTCAAATCCACCATGTGATTATACCCTGGAGCCCTCCCCCAATGCCTTCTCCCACTTTTAAAGCCCATTCAATTCAAGAGCCATCTCTTGCCAAACCAACCCTCTCCGTACCTAACATCTTCATCCAGCCCACCCAGCAAGCTCAGAGCCCCTTGTAACTGGGAGACAAAGGTGCTGACAATGACAGGGAGAGCCTGTTATGGAGTGACTTGTGTCCCCCAAAATGGATATTGGATTTCCGGCTCCTGTCCTTGTAACTCTGACCCTGCTTGAGACAGGAAGTGGCCAAGCTGAGGAAATCTGAGGTCAGTCACTGCCCCTTGCTTCCTAGATGACCATAAAGAAAGTTAGTAAACATCCCCGGGCTTCAGTTTCCTCGGCTGTAAAATAAGGGAAGTAACATCTGGCAAATCAAGAGACAGCTGTGAGTGTGCTTTGGAAGGTTAAGCACGATGCAAATGCCGAGTGAAAATATTGTGCTGTACGTGGTCCTGAGCTAAGGCAGCCTCGCTTTCTCAGAAGTCACTTAGGTCCCTCATTCTTTTGGACTAGAAATCAAGATGCACAGTTCTCCGCACCCCCCACCCCACCCCCACTGAAGGGAAACTCGACAGTCTTGTGCCTTCCTTCAGGGGGAAAAGCAAGTTAATATTTGGATCTAAAAGGCTTCCTCTGACGAATAACAGAAAAGTGAGACAACGGACAGCGTAAGACATGAAGTAACAACAATAATATATAATTTATCAGGGGTTCACGAGGGTGGGAGGATGGGGTGGGGGCAGAGAAGAGCTGATACCAAGGGCTCACGTAGAAGGAAAATGTTTTGGAAATGTTGATGGCAATGTATGTCCAAGTGTACTTACTACAATTGAATGATATATTGTCAAAAGATTTGTAAGAGGCCCCCCCAATAATATGACTAATAAAATCAATATAAGGCTTCCTCTTCCTGGGAGAGGAGCCCTCATGACAGAGTGTGTTATGTGTCAGGCTGCTAACCACAAGGTCATCGGTTGGAAACCACCAGCCGGCGCCCAGATGAAAGAGGAGGCTTTCCACTGCCGTGAAGAGTTAGTCTCCAGAACAAGCAAGGTGCCGGTCTACGATGTCCTAGAGGCTCACTATGAATCGGCGTTGGCTCAATGGCAGTGGGCTGGGGTGGGTTGGGTTTGGGTCTTCCTGGGAACTGCATTTTTTATTGTCATGGAAATAGAAAGACAGAGTAAGTTACATCAGAATCAAACTTCCAAAGTCTCACTCCTTCTCGCATTCAAACATCCATTCATCAGCAGAAAGTATTGATTGGTGTCGTCTATAGGAATAACCGCTGTTTGGTGCTAAGGTAGGATATAGACAGAGAAGGCCTGGTGGCCACCCTCACCGGTGTCTTTCTTTGGATACAAATGGATGGGAGATTCACTTGTTAATAAATCTTGATGTCAAGCACATTTTTTCCTTAGCCTTTCTCTCATACTGTACAAATAGTTCTGTATCCTTGTCATGTTGTCATGCGCTTTATTCATATCCTTAAAAATTCTCCAGACACCTTACTTTCAATGATTCCACCAATCCTACTACATTGTTTGTCCTGATCGATACTTTCTAATCAATACTTCCCTGGATAGTAAGACTTTCTTTGACACCAATAAGTGGTGTTGATACTCGACAATGCCTTCTTGCTACTCAACTCTTAGAAGCCCTGGTGAAAACATGGCGAACATGATGTGCCCTGCTGGAAAGATGGGGTGGGGCTGCCATGGGAGGACTGGAGGCTCCAACCCAGCGCCATCTCCTTGATCTTAATGGTTAGCTGCAGAGGCTCTGGAGCCAGGTTGCCGGAGTTTAAATCCTGTCGCCCCCACTAACCAACAGATAACCTCCAGGTGTCCTCGTTTTCTGATGTCTAGAGAAGTTTTGTGGTTTTTGTTGGTTTTTAAAATCATTTTATTTGGGGCTCGTACAACTCTTAACACAATCCATACATACATTCATTGTGTCAAGCACATCTGGAGAAGTGTAGATCTATATCTATATATAAACTTTTATATATGTAAACTTTTATATATATAAACTTATATATATAAGAATATATTAAGAATATAGTCTTGTGAAGAACACATAGAGCTCTTTTCCCGGTGTCTAGAGCATATTTAGTACTCCATAAATATTCACTATTACCTATCACTGTGAGTCTAATTATAAACAATAATCTGAGCTCTCAGAAAATGGAAAAGGAAAAACAAAATGGAAAGAAGTCCCAAGAAGGATTCAACCAAAGACTTCCTGA